GAAGGAGCCTGAGTTAGTGTGCGAGGCGGAGAGATTCCGGCTGGACATCGTCGGTCTCGCCTCGACACACAGCTCTGGCTCTGGAACCAGCCTTCTTGAGAGGGGTTGGACGCTTTGCTACTCTGGAGTTGCCCCCGGTGAGAGGCGCCGAGCAGGAGTGGGCATACTCATTGCCCCCCATCTCGGTGCCTGTACGTTGGGGTTTACCCCAGTGAGCGAGAGGGTAGCATCCCTTCGCCTGCGGGTGGGGGGACGGGTCCTGACTGTCGTTTGTGCCTATGCGCCTAGCGGCAGCACAGAGTGCCCACCCTTTTTGGAGTCCTTAGAGGGGGTACTGGAGGGTGCCCCCTATGGGGACTCCCTCGTTTTGCTGGGGGACTTCAACGCTCACGTGGGCAACGACAGTGAGACCTGGAGGGGCGTGGTTGGGAGGAATGGCCCCCCCAGCTTGAACCCGAGAGGTGTTCTGTTTTTGGACTTCTGTGCTCGGCACGGATTGTCCATAACGAACACCATGTTCAAACATAAGAGTGTCCATATGTGCACCTGGCACCAGGACACTCTAGGCCGCAGTTCAATGATCGACTTCGTTGTCGTTTCAGCTGATCTGCGGCCGCATGTTTTGGACACTCGGGTCAAGAGGGGGGCGGAGCTTTCCACCGACCACTACCTGGTGGTGAGTTGGCTCCGATGGTGGGGGAGGATGCCGGTGAGACCCGGGAGGCCCAAACGTGTTGTGAGGGTCTGCTGGGAGCGCCTGGCGGAGTCCCCTGTTAGGCGGAGCTTTAACTCCCACCTCCGGGAGAGCTTCGAACACGTTCCGGGGGAGGCGGGGGACATTGAGTCTGAGTGGGCCGTGTTCCGCGCCTCCATCAATGACGCGGCCTCCCGGAGCTGCGGTCGCAGGGCTGTCGGTGCCTGTCGTGGCGGCAACCCTCGAACCCGCTGGTGGACACCGGCGGTGAGGGATGCCGTCAGGCTGAAGAAGGAGTCCTATCGGGCCTTTTTGGCCTGTGGGACTCCGGAGGCAGCCGATGGGTACCGGCAGTCCAAGCGACGTGCGGCTCGGGTGGTCGCCGAGGCAAAAACCCGGGCGTGGGAGGAGTTTGGGGAGGCCATGGAAAAAGACTTCCGTACGGCCTCGAGGCGATTCTGGTCCACCATCCGGCGTCTCAGGGGGGGGAAGCAGTGCCCCACCAACACTGTTTACAGTGGGGATGGTGTGCTGTTGACCTCAACACGTGACGTTGTGGGTCGGTGGGCGGAGTACTTCGAGGACCTCCTCAATCCCACTGGCGTGTCCTCTGTTGGAGGGGCAGAGCCTGGGGATCCGGAGTTTGGATCTCTAATATCCGGGGCTGAAGTCACCGAGGTAGTCAAAAAGCTCCGCGGTGGCAAGGCCCCGGGGGTGGATGAGATTCGGCCGGAGTTCCTCAAGGCTTTGGATGTTGTGGGGCTGCGTTGGCTAACGAGACTCTGCAACATCGCGTGGACATTAGGGGCAGTCCCGCTGGATTGGCAGACTGGGGTGGTGGTCCCCCTATTTAAAAAGGGGGACCGAAGGGTGTGTTCCAACTATAGGGGGATCACACTCTTAAGCCTCCCTGGGAAGGTCTATTCAGCGGTTCTGGAGAGGAGGGTCCGTCGGATAGTCGAGCCTTGGATCGAGGAGGAGCAAGGTGGTTTTCGTCCTGGCCGTGGAACGCTGGACCAGCTCTATACCCTCAGCGGGGTCCTAGAGGGTGCATGGGAGTTCGCTCAACCAGTCCACATGTGTTTTGTGGACTTGGAGAAGGCGTTCGACCGTGTCCCTCGGGGTATCCTGTGGGGGGTGCTCCGGGAGTATGGGGTACCTGGCCCTTTGTTACGGGCTGTTCGATCCCTGTACGACCGGAGTCAGAGTCTGGTTCGCATTGCCGGTAGTAAGTCGGACTCGTTTCCGGTGGGAGTTGGACTCCGCCAAGGTTGCCCTATGTCTCCGGTCCTGTTCATAACTTTTATGGACAGGATTTCTAGGCGCAGCCGAGGTGTTGAGGGTGTCAGTCTTGGTGGCCTAAGGATCGCATCTCTGCTTTTTGCAGATGATGTGGTCCTGTTGGCTCCATCAAGTCGGGACCTACAGCTCTCGCTGGAGCGGTTCGCAGCCGAGTGCGAAGCGGCTGGGATGAGGATCAGTGCCTCCAAGTCCGAGACCATGGTCTCTCACCGGAAAAGGGTAGAGTGCCTTCTCCGGGTCGGAGCGGACGTCCTTCCCCAAGTGGAGGAGTTCAAGTATCTCGGGGTCTTGTTCGCGAACGGGGGTAGGGAGCGTAAGATCGATAGGCGGATTGGTGCGGCGTCTGCAGTAATGCGGGCGCTGTACCGGTCTGTCGTGATGAAGAGAGAGCTGAGCCTAAAGGCGAAGCTCTCAATTTATCGGTCGATCTACGTTCCCACCCTCGTCTATGGTCACGAGCTTTGGGTAGTGACCGAAAGAACGAGATTGCGGATACAAGTGGCCGAAATGAGTTTCCTCCGCAGGGTGGCTGGGCTCTCCCTTAGAGATAGGGTGAGAAGCTCGGCCATGCGGGAGGGGCTCGGAGTAGAGCCGTTGCTCCTCCACGTTGAGAGGAGCCAGTTGAGGTGGCTCGGGCATCTGATCAGGATGCCTCCTGGTCGCCTCCCTGGGGAGGTGTTCCGGGCTCGTCCCACCGGGAGAAGGCCCAGAGGAAGACCCAGGACCCGCTGGAGGGACTATGTGTCCCGGCTGGCCTGGGAACGCCTCGGGATCCCCCCGGAGGAGCTGGCTGAAGTGGCCAGGGAGAGGGAAGTCTGGATTTCCCTGCTCCGGCTGCTGCCCCCGCGACCCGACCCCGGATAAGCGGAGGACAATGGATGGATGGATGGATGGGTCTTGGGGGGGGGGGGCTGCAGCCTATCCGAGCTGACATACGGCAAGAGGCAGGGTACACAGTAGACAGGTCATCAGTCAATCACAGGGTGACACAGAGACAAACAACCAGACAACTACAGAAAATGTTAATTTACATGTGTTATTCTATTAGACACCTTGGATTTTTCTTTAAGGAATTTCGTTCAACCTCTTGCATTTTCTTGTCAATCACAAATCGGTACAATGTTTTCACACTCAAGCTCCTAAATGGCTCCTAAATGTGTGCACAATCACTTGTGTTTAAAAAGTCCTTGCTTTTTCATGTTTATAGGATTTTCTGCGGAGGTACAATTGTGTTTTACAACCCTAAACATTGCCAAAAGCTGAGAAAAGAAGTGCATGTTGGAGTATTTTCGTGTAGACTATGTTGCTTTATCCAGTGCTCTCCTTTTATTCAGTGTTTTTGCTTACATGTCAAACTGAGTTACCAGCAGGATGTGCTCTCAGGCCTTCCGTTCTCATGCGACCTCGACTGTGCTCATTATCCACAGTGTGCATTTCCAAAGTGGAAGTTATCAGGCTTAAAGAAAGTGATTCACTTGTCATTTTCAGGGCATGATACTTTGTTTTTGCTTCAGAGATGCCTGGGAAACTTTTTATTTGTATTTTTCACGATGACCTAGTCATGTTCGATCAGTTAATTTGGTTTGTTTTTCATGGCTGGCAATAAAATGTGTGGAAAGGTTTGGGTTATTTCACTCCATGGGTGACAGTTTTATGAACAAGACCCACTACAAGATGACTTTGCAGAGCATAGAATGAACAAATTGTGGCTTTTCAACTAAAACCACAGAAAAGGCACAAGTCTGAAGCCCATGCAGAGTATGAATTGTGCACAAATTACAGCTTCAATTATGTTGGCATTAGATATATGAATAGCTTTGATCACGGACATTGGAGTTTTTATTTAGCATGTTTTCTTGTTTATGTGCTGTTGTACCTTAAAAGGTAGAAGCTGGAACATTCCAAGTTCAGAATCATCATCATCATGACCCTTAGCAATGTTCCAGATATTTAACAAATTAGACCCAAACAACACATTAGCTAAATAATTTTATTCTCTGGAAAAATCATCCCTCAATTGCAAACTGTTCCTCCTTCTGATCTAAGTACACTTTTTCTGAGTTGTTTATGTGTATATAGCTAATGTAAAGGTTATTAATAATTTATCTCTAAAAGTTATGAAACCATCACAACTTTAATCTTAAACCATTTGCAATTCAAGTATTTGTCAAGGAATTCGTGTATCCTTGGGTAATATTAGCTCCAAACCTAAATCAAGTTTATGTTTATGCATTTAGCAGATGCTTTTATCCAAAGTGACAAACAAAGTAGAATATATACATATGTAGACATGTCTATACATTAAAATGTTTGAATGATTAAATTGAAATTTAAACAAATAAATAATTAAAATATTTAAATTGGCATTATTGAAATTGAACAACCTTTCCATGATTGAATTATATTTTTTGCAACGGGTCTGTATTTGAGAATCTCTGGATCTTGTGTTCAGCTATATAGATTTATAGAAAGGTCTTATTGATAATGAGAAAAAGAAAACAGATTGCCTTTCAACCTCTATTTAATATAATCTCCCTCCCTGACGTACAGAGGGCTACTGCTTAAAGGAAACACTGCCATGTAACAAACACAAAAAAATAATAACCTAAAATGCATACAAAAATATCCATCACAAGACACAAGAGCTGGACTTGTAATTATTGTTGCTAGGTTATTATTTTGATATCACAAGGTGAATTGGAGTTATCTTTAATTTACAGAGCTCTCTCCTCACCATGTCGAAACTTTATTTTTCCACTAGAGAATGAGAGTCGCTCCCAATTCAAAATGGAAAAAAAAACTACATACGTTTGAGTGGAAACCAAAAAAGTCTTTAAGATAGATAGATAGATAGATAGATAGATAGATAGATAGATAGATAGA